TGAGGATGTGGTGGGAGACAGTATCAAAAGCCTTGCTATAATCGAGGTAGAACAACACCCACTGCCTTCCCCTCATCCACCCAGCCAGTCATGCCATCAGAGAAGGCTATCAGGTTGGTCAGGCATGATTTGCCCTTGGTGAATCCGTGCTGAGTACTCCTGATAATCCTCTTTTCCTCCACCTGTTTAGAGATAACAGCCAGAATGAGCTGTTCCATCACCTTTCCAGGGATGGAGGTGAGGCTGACTGGTCTGTAGTTCCCCAGATCCTCCTTCTTGCCCTTTTTGAAGACTGGAGTGACACTGGCTCTCCTCCAGTCCTCAGGCACCTCTCCTGTCCTCCATGACCTGTCAAAGATGATGGAGAGCAGCTTAGCAATAGTGTCTGCCAGCCCCCTCAGCACTCGTGGGTGCATCCCATCAGGGCCCATGGGCTTGTGAGTGTCCAGTCCAGCTAAGAGATCTCTAACCCAATCCTCCTTGGCCGAGGGGCAGTCCTCCTTCCTCCAGACTTTCTCTCCTACTTTCAAGGTCTGGGATTCCTGAGGACCAGCCTTAGCAGTAAAGACTGAGGCAAAGAAGGCATTCAGTAACTGCCTTCTCTGCATCCTCCATCACCAGGGCATCTGCCTTGATCAGCAGGGGGCCCACCTTTTCCCTGGTCTTCCTTTTGCTGCTGATGTATTTGAAGAATCCCTTCTTATTGTCTTTGACATCCCTAGCCAGACTTAATTCCAAACAGGCCTTAGCCTTCGTCGTTGCATCCCTGCATGCTCTGACGATATTCCTATATTCCTCCCAAGTGGCCAGTCCCTTTTTCCACATGTTGTAAACCTCCTTCTTCCCTTTGAATGTTTCCAGGAGCTCCTTGCTCATCCAAGCAAGCCTTCTGGCTGCCACTGTCACCTGTAAAGTCACTTTTAAATTAATTTCACTGATATTTAGAGGTGACCAGTGTCTTGTATTTTCAGACTAAATGTTAGGGTTCCATTAATTGGTATCTTTCTGAATGTTAGACCTGGTCTTTAGGGCACCCCAGGAAAGTGGGAGTTGTCATAACCTATAAAAAGACTGATGTTATTGTGCAATACATTAGTAGTGGAGTACAGGGGTTTTCAGCCATTACCTCCTCCTCCATGGCAGTTGCTGCTCTGAGCCCTGTCCTCCTGGTCCTGTCTTCCTGCTGCCCTGGCTTCATCCTTCGTTTCTGGACTGCATTATAACACATCCAGCCCTGGAAACAAATACCGAAATGTGGCTGTGTCACAATTCACACACTACAGCTGACAGTTGTGGGGGATTTTAGCACTGCTAGGAGCTTCACATCCTTCATGTCCACACATACATGTTTCCCACTGAAGAAATAAACCATGCAACTTGTCACATGACAAAACACAAGTTCCAGTTTCTTTCTGGACGAAGTTGAGAAAAAAAAAACCCACAACCTGTAAAAGCTTTATATAAACCAAAACATCTGATTTGCATTGGCAAGACTAGTTGCTCTACTTCCCTCTACGGTTTCTGAGCAGAGCTGGTTAAAGGGCAGTCTTGAGCTGAATGCAGTGGATGATTCTTATCTTTCACATGCAGCTCACAGTACAGCTTCCAGAAGCTGTAAATCCCAGTATGCAAAACATGGTTTGAATAGAAGGCACTAGGCAGGCTGCATATCTGGGTTGCAAATTAAGGTGGCTACACTTCTTTCCACTTTTTAAAATTCCTGCATGCCCACTAGCAAAAGAGTGGTGTCCCTGTTTTAATGGAGATTTGTTTTTCTTTGCCAAAGGTTGGATGGTACAATGCTGTTCTCCAGCCAGCCTTTCACCTCCCCTACTCAGATGACACACTGGCCTTCGTGGTCCTCAGCACGCCTTCAATGTTTGACAAAGCCCTTAAACCTTTTGTGAACAAAGAACGGTTGAAAATAATCAGGGATCCTGTGGATCAATGTGTTTCTCATCATTTATCATGTGTGAAGGAGGTAAGAACCTGAAATGCTGATTCCTTTTACTATTGTGGCGTATAACCAGTTGGGTTGAGCAGCAGACAAAGCTTTCCAGGTTCCTGCCCTTGCTCTTTAGAAGGGGAAAATGTTATTCATGATGGCAAGAGCATCACAGGCTGTTGACCTGCTTTACTTGCATACTCTGTCTCTTTGCCATTACCACCTGTAGCAATGTAGAGTGCTTTACAGTCATAGTTTGAAAACCCAAGGCCACAAGCGTGCTGATAGGTTTCAGTAGCAGGATGTGTAAATCTGCAGGCTTCATATGTGCCTGATTTGCTAGCATCCAGTGCTTCTGTAGTGGCAAATCTTTTTCCATGAGCCTGGGCTGATGTTTTTTTCATTTTCCCAGAAATTCCCTGACCAGAAGGTGGATGTCATCTTTGATTACGAGATTCTGCCAAGCCGAAAGCCCAAGTTCTTGGCACAGACAGCTGCCCATGTTGCTGGAGCTGCGTATTACTACCAAAGGAAGGATGTGAAGCTTGATCCTTGGGGGAAAAAGGTGAGGCAAAAACACAGTCTGGGAAGAAACACTAAACTGCAATCACCGAATCATACAACTATTGTTTACTCACTAGTTCTTCCTGCAGGGAAATACAAAGTTCAGATCACATATAGATGCATAAAGTGTTTCAGACAGGATTTGGAAGCTTCCAAGACTCTTCAGGGTGGTAGGGAGATGCATACATGGAGAAGAATATCTTGATCTATTAAGCCTACTTAGACAGGAGAATAAATTTCAATGTAAAAGAAGACCTGTGGCTTGAAGCATTATAAATTTTTAAAAAAAAAAATTGCACTGTGGTTAATTTCTGTGTTAGATTTTTCAAAAAGGGACCTCTCACCACATTACAGAGTGGTGTGTGTGTGGACGCAGGAAAATGGGAATGAAGTGCAATGCTTCAAGTTCAGGGAAGAGCTTTACTTTCTTCTCTGTATAGCACTCCAACAGAGGGCTAGGAGTGTGAGAAGATGCATCAAAGCTTGAGGCTTTGAACTCTAACCATTATTAGAGACAAAGCGAAACATCCTAGATCCTTCTTTTTTTTCTTCCAGAAGATCTATGGCGTATGTATCCATCCCAAGTATGGTGGTTGGTTTGCTATCCGGGGTCTCCTCCTGTTCCCAGATATTCAGGTACTGTTCCTGAAACAGTCTGCCCCTGTTGACTGTGTGAGCACAGAGGAGAAAAGAATCGAGTTGCTGGAGCAATTCAATTTCCACTGGCAGGATGGCCGCTACAGGGACATAATTGAAGTGAAGGAAAGGTATTCAGAGGAGCAAAAAGCCTACTTTGCCACTCCTCCAGCGGAGAGATTCAGACTGCTAGGGCTGACACAAGAAGCCCAAGAAAAACACATTTCACTGAGTAACATGGCTCCATGAAGGGGCAGAGGGCAAGCAAAGTGTAACTCATCAGCACCTTCTTTTCCACGGTGCTGAGGAGGATGGCGTGCTGATACAGAGACAGCAAACCCAAGCAGCACGTGCAGCATCTCAGTCCAAACATCAGCTTCTTGGAGTGAGAGGGAGCACTGCATCATAGCACTTGTGGTCTGGAGGAAGGTGGGAGCCCTTTGTTCTGTGGTGTTGCTGATTTGGTGTGTCTTTTGGCAGCCTGGTAAAATGCCAATTAGCCTTTGGTTGGGAAAAGTTCAGACACCCTGGCAACTGGAAAACCTGTGCTGCTTATTAGAGAAGTCATTTTTGGGTGTATTCTGTGTAAGAGTAAAAAAAAATTAATTTTCCACCCTTGTCCTCGGAAATTTTTTTTTTTGTCTGAACGTAGGGCAGATACTTTTTTAGATGTATCCAGCATTTTGTTACTCTGTGTCATATATCTCCCTAGGGAATAAGCCTTCAGTCTTTTCAGTCTTGTCTTCCTCAGAAAGAAAATTTGCCCTGTATTCCTTCACTTGGAGTGAATGTCTCCTTTCTTTAACATTCAAAAGAAAATTCTCCAGAGATTGTTTCGTTGAGTCCCGCACATGGAGCAGGAGTGGGGAAAATGGAGCCAGCGGCAGCCACCTCCTTCAGGGTAGTTGCGAAAGGGACAGTACAAAGGTCACAGTCACAGCTCGAGTTTGCTGTTTCCTCTTCACCAGCGTCAGCTTCTCAGAATAAGGTGATGTCTTTAGGTCAATTTTAAGCATTTATCCATTATAGAGCAGCCGACTACAGTCTTCAGAAAGATGCTGAATAATGTCTACGTGAGTGGAGTTTTTACTCATGGTAAGATAATTGACTGAAAAAGACAATTCTTGTGACCTTTTTTCTAAGGTAGATGAGGTTTTTATTTAACATATTCATCCGTGTTGTGCCAGCACACGCCACACCCCTCCCCATTTTACTACCATAGTTTCGTGTTGTACTTTCTATACAGGAGAGACCGTAAACCTGCACGCCTGTAAAAACCATTGTGTGAAGCATTGTCACATGCACACGCAAACAAGCAGAGAAAAAAAAGAATATATTCATAGCATTCGTGTTACTTATATTGCTGGATAAAACATCTTCAGACAGAAACATAACCTTTTTTTTAGATGACTTTATCCTGTTGAGGCTACAGTGGCACTGGGAATCAGGAATTAATTTATCTTTGAGCACTTTGAGGCTCAGGCCTCATTAAAATAATATAATAAATTAAAATAATATTTGATGCTAGTTTTGTTACTTGACTGCAGTGCATTACTGCAAGTTGCTAAGTACTTTTCCCCTTTCTGTGGTATCAACATGATGATGCAAAAATACACACTTTGCAGACCTGAGCCCTTTCTTTTTGTTTTGTGTTGTGATCCTTCGTAACCTTTTTCAGACTGAGACACTGACGCTGCCCTCCCACTAAGTCACTGCTTGATACAGGTTATCATAGTTTATTTACAAACTAAGCATAATCAAAATTCAGCATAACAAGTTTGTTTTCCTGTAAACAGAGCAATGAGCATGTGATCACTGGGTTTGTTCAGTGTATTTGCTGTTACAAAAAAGTCTTTGTTGCTTTCCATGCTTTGTTCACCACATCTGACTAAGGCAGACACCTGACTTACTGTGTGATGGTGGTATTGTGATTTTTAAGTTAAGCAAAATAATTAATTTTTTTTTAAATTCTCTTCTTTTGTTATAGAATTACTTCTGGTTGAAATGTTGGTTGACCTTCCAGAACTTTCCAACTGAACTGTAATTTAACAGGGACTTGATTATATGGTTCATATTAATAACATAAAAAATACTGATTCTCTTAGAAGAATAAATACAGAATTGAATCAGAGTTATCTTTTTTACAATTTAAAGTAAAATATTTTGCTATTTTGGAGCTGATTTCTTACAAATATTTAATATTTTGTCTTAGTTTATTTATTAAACAGATTACCATAGCCATTTTAATTTCCATTTTTGTAATTAATTTCTCTTCAGATGGTATTTTGGTTAATAAAATACACAAAGTTGTAAGTAACCCTCAGTACTGAGTATTTTTTTTTAAACAATGCAACAATTAACTTGTGGAGAGCTAAATATGTTAAAGTGAGAATCAGTCACTGTGTTTTTAGCATACTGAAAATAATACCTAAGACACACAAAATCCAGTATCTGAAAACAAAAGAAAAAGCTAGTTATCTTAGTAGAAGTTAGTAAACTACTATGGCAGACTCATCTGGGATATAAAAAAACCAACACAGATCACATGATGAATAAGTCTAATACATGTTTATCTTTCCCAGCTCATTTCAGCAAGATTGTTTAACAGCAAGCACATAACAATGCACGTTCATTTTTTCCTCTGTTCTTGCCGTAACAGAAAGTTCAAGGTGTCCAGCGATATGTAACTGATATTTGAGGCATTTTTTTCCTCAGTAACTTAAAAGTTAATACCTGTAAGTACCGGAATTCATATTTGTTAAAACCTATTAGTGAATACTGAGTCATAGTAAGGGCAAATCCGTGTTCTTTGTGCTTCTGGCAATGGAGTTACATCAGGCAGAACAGAGTACAAATATTCAATGACATATCCATTCCTACTACAGTCATTTTGGAGTGAATTCGATTGGCTCTTACTGGCTTTCTCTTAGCTATGTCCCCGAGATCCACAGCTGCAGCCAGTCATTTTCTTTCCTTGCTAGTTGGAGCATAATGGTCTTTGTCTTACAAAATTGGAATTTAAGAACCTGTTTGACTTATCTCATCTCTTGGGACAAGACTAGACATGGTGAGGAACAGATCTGGATCCTGAGGCATTATGAACGCATTCTTATTTTCAGCACTTGCAAATGTCAAACAAGTAATTGCAAATACTTGGATAGATTTACCAGCTCAAGTATCACATTTTATGTTTTTAGACAAGTTTTAAGTTTCTCCTCTAAATCCTAATTTTTAAACATTTATCGAAGTATCTTTTGTCCTCAATATAACCAGTAGGGTGAATATTTGAGAGCTGAACAGTAAAAATATAAAAAATTAAAAGCTGCTTGAATTTTAATTCAGTTTTAGCAACACGATATTCAGTATATTTCAAGCTAATAAAATATTCTGTGGAGAATTAACAACTTTTTAATGTGTTCACGCACGTAACATTTATTACTCATCTTCTTCAGTTAAAATTTCCTTTTTTAACTCCATTAACCTTAAAATAACTGAGATTTTTATTGATTAAAGATGTGACAGAAAATACCAAAGGACAATCTAATCTGGTGACAAGCAGCTGTCAGGATTATTGCTCAGTAAGGGAAAAACACTGGAGAAAACCCTGTTGTGGTGTTTCTTTTCTTTTTTTTGTACTAGTTAAATCAGTTACATCTCAGTGGTGCAAGAAGCAGCACTGTTTCTCTGGGGTATGAAGTACAGTTTGGCAAACTTAATTCCTGATATTGCCTTATTTCCTTCTATAAAAAGGGTGGCTTTTAACAGTCCTGTCTTACTCTAAACTATGGAAGACTAAAGGTGGTTTGCTGTATAAATCAGTGCTGGTGTGTCAGACAAAACCAGCCAATCTTATGAGAGAGCAGTGCACTCTTCCGGTTTGGTTTTGGTTTGGGGGTTTCTTTTTAAGGTTTTGTTTTGTTTTGTTTTGTTTTTCTTTTAGGGCTAGATTGCCCTCCTCTGGGTCAGAAGCATAGTTTTTTACTCATTCAGTATAGCATACATGGTCTTTATTAATTTGTGACCAAAACTATTGGTGGTGTACCTATTATTTAACATGGGTTAATTACTGAAAATACACAGTAACTTGAATTTGACTAAAAAAAAAATCAGAATCAGCAGTCTTTGTTCAGCCCCATGCAAAAACTCCATTTAAAAACTTAGCTTTGAATACTGATTTCAGCAGCAACAGTTCCAAAGTTCTAGCTTAAGGGGAAGTGCAGTTTAATGCAGTGGAGTGCCAGCTGTACCTCTGCAACCTTAACTTTCACAAATTCATCTACCAAAATGGACAAGTGTATTTGTGAGACTTTTTTGCTGTTAGGCTGGCTTCCTGTCATATATATCCTGTGATGGATCATCCATCACGTTTGCTTCAGAAAGCAAACAGAGCACTTCCCTTCTAGGTTTTCAAAGAGGAAACAGAAAGAACCAAGGAACACAAATAGGTTTTTCTTTTCTCTCTGCAACTGAAAAAACACATAGATGTTCACATTCCTTAGAAAACAGTACTTTAGGTGAAGAAATGGAGTGGTTTGTGGGGGGTTTTTTCCAATAAATGAAACACAATAATGGGAAATATGATGAGAAACTTAAAAAAAAAATAAATACTTTATCACAGAATAAGCAATAAGATATTTTAGTGGAATGTTTAAAATCTCTCCAATAATATACCACAATTTGCAAATGTGATTATACATGTATAAAAGATTATACATGTATAAAAGTATTTGAAATGGCTACTTCCTGAAAAGTTATGTAACTATCACTCATTAATATTACATCTCATATATATGTATTCTCATTATTCTCATTCTCAATATAATATTCTCATTTTGTGTTATTTTTGTTTGTACATAATTCAGTGAGCAATTTTATTTTTAATAACTGCATTTTTTTTCATATATCTGTGGGCAAATTAACATCAAGAGAACAGTGTTAAAAGATTCCAAGCTGAGCAATTATGCAGGCTTATGTAATTGATGAAAGAGTAGCCAAAACCTTGGAATGTACCTGATCTCAAGCAGAGGCAGCCCAGGGAGGCTCGAGATAAGCAAGCTGTACATTTCTGCTTTGCAGTCTTATGGTTGCCGACTTAGATGCGTGACTTTATGGAATAAAGTCAAGATAAGAGTGTCTCCTCTAGTAACCTTAGGTAATTATAATACTAAAATATACACCCACTTGTGAATAATGAGCATGCTAATTAGGAAACCTCCCCCAAATATTTTAGACATAGAGTAAAATGCATATGTATGATGAAGTTGGGTGAGAGGTGGATAGGGAAGTTTAAGCATTTTGCTACTATAAAAAAAGGAACACATGATGTAATCAGTGTGCTGGCTGGTATTAGACGCCCGGCGCCCTGCTCTGCAGAGTAGAAATAAAGACAAG